CATCCATCCATCCATCCATCCATCCATCCATTCAACCATCCATCCACCCACCTACCAATCCAACTACCAACCTGCTCATCTGTCTATCCATCTATCCATCCATCCCTTCACCCACCTACCCACCCACTCACCCACCTATTCACCCATCCATCTAACAACCTGCTCATCCATCCATCATCCATCCATCCATCCACCCACTCACCCATCCATTCATCTATCCATCCATCCGTCTATCCATCCATCCATTCATCTATCCACCCATCCATTCATCTATCCATCCATCCACCCACCTATTCACCCACCCACCTACCAACCTACTTATCCATCCATCCACCTACCAATCCACCTATCAACCTGCTCATCCATCTATCCATTCATCCATCCACCTACCAATACACCTACCAATCTGCTCATAGATCCATCTACCAACTACAAATCCTTCAGACTCGTCTCACCCACCCATCCACCCATCTATCCATCTGTTCATCATCCATCCTTCCATTATCCAACAACATTCCCTTAGCACCTCCTCAGTGCTAATTTCTAGAGATAAAGATGAGAATAAAGCATCATCTTTGCTTTTAAGAACTTCTGGTCTCCAGGGGAAGATGAGATACATAGTTAGATTATTTTCTCATCTGTGTCTTCCCCACCCTACCCAGGGTGTCAGGAAAAGAAATGTGGGAAATGTTGCCTATTAGATCCCCCTCTGGGTGATTCACTACTCACATTATTGGCACATTAAAAGATCTGACAAGTCCTACAGTCAAGATCTCTTTTCAACCCTTTTCAACCACTATTACCCCAAATGACTTGTCTCTAGACCCTATTTTAAGAGGATTGCCTGTTAAAATCCCATGGAATGAGATTGTCTCAGAATAGAATTGGGGAAATGCTGATACACCAAGGAAAAAAGAACCAAGTGTCACTTAAAAAACAGAGTAGTATTGGATTATAAGCCGAGGTATAAAATAAATACCAACGAGCCCATACCGATATTAATAAATGACTGGACTGATAAACAAAAGGGAGAATATACAAATCTCCTGTGCAGAAGAATTCCAAATAATTTATGTAGATCCTCTGCCTTCGAGGAGGGGGAGCATAACTCCCCAGTGTTTCAGTCTAAAAATACAATATGCAAAGAAGGGGAAAGTGGAGAAGCCGGGCAAACACTACACCAGCCACGTGATCAACATTAAGCTTGATAGTGATATCTCAAACTCATAGTATGTGCCCCTGATGGGATGAGAGTGACTCTTCACCTCCGTGGCTTCTTAAAACACATAACCTCAGTCCAATTAAGAAAAAAATATCAGGGGCGCCTGGGTGGCGCAGTCGGTTAGGCGTCCGACTTCAGCCAGGTCACGATCTCGCGGTCCGGGAGTTCGAGCCCCGCGTCAGGCTCTGGGCTGATGGCTCGGAGTCTGGAGCCTGTTTCCGATTCTGTGTCTCCCTCTCTCTCTGCCCCTCCCCCGTTCATACTCTGTCTCTCTCTGTCCCCAAAATAAATAAACGTTGAAAAAAAAATTAAAAAAAAAAAAAAGAAAAATATCAGACAAATCCCAGTTGAGTTACATTCTACAAAATACCCGAACAGTACTCCTTAACATTGTCCAAGTCATCAAAAACAAGGACAATCCAAGAAACTGTCGCAGCCAAGAGGACACTAAGAAGAAGTGACCACTGTATTCAGTGGGGTATCCTGGGTGGGATCCTAGAGCAGAAAAAGGACGTTAGGTAGAAACCAAAGAAATCAGAATGAAGAATGGGGTTTAGTTAATAATAATGTATCAATATGAGTTCATTAATTGTGACAAATGTAAGATGTTAATAACGGGGGAAACTGGGTGTGGGGCATGTGGGAAATCTTTGTTTTATCTGTGTAATCTTTCTGTAAGTCTAAAATTGTTCTGAGATTAAAGATTATTTAAAAAATAAGTAAATAAAGAAACAAGTGAGCAAAATTCAGCAAGTGAGGTACAGGGTTTAAGGAACAGCCTGGGGGAGACAAGGAGTTCTGGTTAGGAGAAGAGGTCTGAAATCAGAGAAGGCTAAATTCTGTAACTCACCTACTGCATGACTCTGAGCAAACTGGTTAATCTTTCTGAGATTATTTCTTCATCTGTAAATGGAGATTTAAAAATGCCGTATTAGTTGATTTGGATTAAATGAGGCAATGCATATAGAGTCCTAGGCACCAATAAACATCGTGGGACCGTTAGACTTACTGACTTGTTATCTTTGGCAGGTGTGGAGGATCTGGGAAGGCTGCAGGGAATGGGGTTACTGGCACCCACCCTTGGAGAACTGGTAAGATATAGGTTGGGAGTGGGAGGTCAGTTTTCCCCAAAGCAGAGAGGTCCTTTCTTCTATCCTAACGCCTACCCTTTGGTTCCAGAGCAGAGCTAAGTGGCCTGGGAGGAGATAGAGACCTCACAGATAGGCTTCTGACTTCCCACCCCAGCTATGGCCCTGGCTTGCCCTTCCGTCTGCCAGGGTCTCTGGGCTAAGTAATCGCTAATTCCTCCCTGATGAAGCACCTGTATCTGTAAGCAAATGAGCTGGCAGGTGGCGGCCCGGATAAAATATGACCTGCTCAGCAGGGGATTTGCTTACCAGTTGGGAGGCAGCCCATCCTGCTGCCTGCAGCCTGGAGGCCTCCTGGATAAAGCATAAATCACCGGTGCCCACAGGGCAGGCGAGAGGGCAGGAGGCACCTGGAAGAGTAAATGCCCCCTCCCCGGCCTCAGGCTTATGGACACTTTCTCAGTGGCTCACGGAAAAGAACCAGAACCGGGAATCTAGGAGACAAGGGAAATTCATTCTAGCTCCACCACAAACTTGCTGTGAAGCCTTGGGAGAGTCACTTTCCCCTTCTGGGCCTTAGTTCTCAACTCCAAGAAAGAGCTGTTCTTTCCCTCATGGATTTGCTACAAAGAACATAGAAGAAACTGTATGGAAATACACAATATTTGTTACAATCTTGATGATTTTTATGTTGTTACTATGTTGCTCCCACAGAAACCCCAGGGATCAGAGCTCAGGGGCTGGTAAGTTTCTGGTGGGCTGGTAGCTTTAGGGAATTATCTTCAAGGCTATAGTATCTATCGACAGAAAACTGATCAGAGACCTTTCCAAGGAGGCAGCATGATATATGGAAAACCAGAAGTTCCGGAGGCATCGGAACTTGTTTTGAATCCTACAGCTGTCGCCCATTAGCTGAAAGGACTTGGGGAAATCACCTTTCCCCTTTGATCCTCAGTCAACTGATCTATAAAGCAGAATGAAGAATATAATCTTTTAGGTTGTGGTTATAAGGTATAAACAAGATTACATTCCAGAGAGGCTGGCTCATAAGTAGCTCCCTGATAAAGGCTAGTTCGTCGAGGCTGAACCAGGTTTACAAATCAGATTTCCTAACTTTCTACTCAGCTCTTTGCTGAGACCTCAGAAAGTCTTGGGGGAATCTCCAGGCCTCTGTGAGCCGCATCGCTGCCCCTACCCCCCAATCCCCTGCCGGGAGACTTCTGCAACTTGGACCTGGGAGACCCCTTGGGAAGTGCTCCAGCCCGGAGGCTGCGGGGACTGCATGATGAAGACAGAGCCGTTTGCTAATACCATGTGGCTGCTGTGACAGTCTGTTAATGCCATTTACAACGTGCTGTAATTATGTCTCACACATGCTGGCGGCCCAGCCAGCAGGAACATTCCCTGGGAGGGGCCTCGGAAAGATTCCTTTAGCAGGGTGGGGGTTGGGCTTTCTCAGGAGGCTGGGAGCTGGGGGGGTTGGAAGCCACTCTGAAGGAGTAGGAATTCCTCCCTTTGCACTGACCTACTTGGCTGCCCTGGGCACCTGAGAAAGAGTTCACACCTGCTTGGACCAGTGGTTCCCATCCTGCATTGTTTTGGAACTTTGGACAAGTCTTGGTTCCTCTCTGGGCCTCAGTATCCCCTTCTATAAGATAAGGATATGGGGAAAGATAAGAGCAGTAGTTCTTAACATTTTTTTGTAGCATCTCCCTAGAAAAATGCACATGCTCACATCCAATCACAATGTATCCTGCATTTTCAGGGGGCTCACGGGCGACTGAAGTCCATTATTAAGCACCAATGACCCCAGGCCTAGAATCTCAGTCTAGATCATTTCACGGACCTACTACCGCTGTGTTTCAATCTATTTCTCCACCCAGTTTGTGAGGTCACTCTCTGCTGGATGTTGCTGCTTGTCGTTTGGGACATAGGTGTTCATGACAGTTAGCTGCTCACCCTAGATGGGGCTCCTTATCAGAAAGTGCCCAGAGTTGTCTCTTAAGGCCTTCTGCCTTGAATTTAATGGGCCGGCTCATTTCTACAATGCTGCCCAAACCGTGATATTCTAGGATCTTGCTAGCTGGCGATGTGCATTATCCTCCAAGTTTGGTAAAAAGAGCTCAGTTTTGGAGTTAGACAGGTCTGAGTTAGAATCTCTCCATACTTCCTTGCTGTCCAACCACCAGCTTCTCGGAGCCTCAGTTTCCCTTTCCAGGGAGTTGTCATGAGGGACAATGCCCCTCAGGTGCCTGGTGCAGAATAAGCACCCAACGCAGGCCAGTTCTGCTCCCACTACTGCCCCCCCACACACCCTCCTCTTCCTTTCTGGAGGGAGCTGAGGAGTCTTGGGGAAAAGCTCTCGGGAATGGAGAAGCCTATTTCCAAGTCATTAGTCCCCCAGTGTCGGGCTGCAGGATGGATTTTGATCAAGAGCGGGGTGACATTTGGCAAAAGTTGCTGATGAGGGATTGAATGATTAATCGTCATGACAACCGGGCTGGAGTAATGACAGGGATGCGATGGCGCCCGAGTTAAACACAAAGCGGCCCCGCGAGCCGGGGCGGTAAATTACTAGGCTTGTCACCGCTGCGCTTTTGGAGAAAGCGGCCGTGCGTTCCTAATGAGAGGTTAACTGTGTCCCCAAAGTAATTACAGCCGATTGAAGAGGTGGCTGGTAATTAGAGGATTAGCGGTGATGAGACTCACCTGCATGGTTGCCATGGTGATGGAGGGTGGGTGGGGTAGCGAGGGGAGGAGGGTCCAGACTCCTCCCCAAGGCAGGTGCCGGAGACCTCTCTAGTTGGGCCAGCCTTGGTGTCCATGACCAATGGGACGGGCCCTGGAGAGCTGGTGGGCAGGCCCCAAGGTTCTGCCTCTGGTGGTGGGGCCTCAGTCTCCCCATCTGTAAAATGAGAGCTTGAACCCATTGAAGAGCATGGAATAACAGAGCTGGAATTCAGGAACATGGCTGGTCTAGTCAAGTGACATCTCTCTCAAACTCCAAATAGTCTTCAATTTGCCACCCTCCTCCCAAGCCTGGCTTTGGTGGGGCCCAGGAAACCACACACAAATTCTACCTCTTGGCTGAGTGTCTCCAAGGTCTGAGCATAAGCCTCCATTTCCTCATCTCTAAAATGGGGACAATGGGGGCGCCTGGGTGGCTCGGTCTGTTGAGCGTCCGACTTCAGCTCAGGTCATGATCTCACGGTTCGTGAGTTCCAGCCCAGCGTCGGGCTCTGTGCTGACAGCTTGGAGCCTGGAGCCTGCTTGGGATTCTGTGTCTCCCTCTCTCTGCCCCTTCCCCGCTCATGCTCTGTCTCTGTCTCTCAAAAATGAATAAATGTTAAAAAAATAAAAAAATAAAATAAATAAAATGGAGACAATAATAATGGTACCTGTTTCCAAGGGTCCTCTAGAGAATGCAGTGAAATCATAATTGCAGGGCCCTTAGGAAAATGCCTGGTCACCACAAGAGCTCCATAAATGTTAGTGCTTTTGGTCCCCTTTACAAATACCTCTTCCTTCTGCAGACCTGGAGTAGCCAGGGGCAGGGAGGGGTCAGGGGCCTCAACCTTTTGTTGGAGAATGGGCTGCGCCTTCCACACATGATAGGTGACAGGAGCTCCAGGTGAAGCTCTGGGCACTAGGCGCCCACTGTTTGCTCACGCTGCGTATCCTTGGTCAAACCTCTCTGCTTCTCTGAGCTTCCTGATTCCTGCCTGCCTGACTGTTCTGTTGGGAGAAAGGAAGGAAATGCTGGGTTTGTGGCGCACTTCGCTTATGCCAGACCTTCCCATGGTACTTTATAACTATTATTTAGTTCTATCCTCCCCACAATCCATAAAATAATTAGTTTGCCCATTTTTAAACAAGATATTTTGTTTTTAAGTAATCTCTACACCCAACGTGGGGCTGGAACTTAAAACCCTGAGATCAAGAGTCACGTGCTCTATTGACTGACCCAGCCAGGCACCCCTATTTTGCCCATTTTTTAAAAAATGTGTATTTTGGGGCGCCTGGGTGGCACAGTCGGTTAAGCGTCCGACTTCAGCCAGGTCACGATCTCGTGGTCCGTGAGTTCGAGCCCCGCGTCAGGCTCTGGGCTGATGGCTCGGAGCCTGGAGCCTGTTTCCAATTCTGTGTCTCCCTCTCTCTCTGCCCCTCCCCTGTTCATGCTCTGTCTCTCTCTGTCCCAAAAATAAATAAAAAACGTTGAAAAAAAATTTAAAAAAATGTGTATTTATTTATTCTTTTTTTTTATTAAAAATTTTTTAAATGTTTATTTATTTTTGAGACAGAGAGAGACAGAGCATGAACGGGGGAGGGTCAGAGAGAGAGGGAGACACAGAATCCGAAACAGGCTCCAGGCTCCGAGCTGTCAGCACAGAGCCCGACGCCGGGCTGGAACTCACAAACTGTGAGATCATAACCTGAGCCGACACCGGGAGTCGGAGGCTCAACCCACCGAGCTACCCAGGCACCCCTGCCCATTTCTGAGAGGAGAAAACAAAGGCCCAGGGAAGTGAAGTGAGCAGCCCAGACACACAGAGCTGGAGTGAAAGGGTCAGGATTTGAATCCAAGTCAGTCTAAATTTCTTACACTCTTGGGGCGCCTGGGTAGCTCAGTTGGTTGAGCGTCCGACTTCGGCTCAAGTTCATGATCTTGCAGTTTGTGATCGAGCCCCACGTCGGGCTCTGTGCTGACAGCTGGGAGCCTGGAGCCTGCTTGGGATTCTGTGTCTCCCTCTCTCTGACCCTCCCCTGTTCATGCTCTGTTTCTCTTTGTCTCAAAAAAATAAATAAATAAACGTTAAAAAAAAACGAATAAATAAACATTAAAAAGAATTTCTTACACTTTCTACCACATGAAGAAGCCGACTTACACCTCAAGGAGACGCCGGTCCACCACCTCCATCCAAGGCCCTGGGCACCCGAGAGGCGGACCTTCAAGAGAAGCCTGCCTGGGATTGGCCTGGGCGGTCGTGACATCATGAGGGCGGAGCTCTTGCCGGGCGCGCTTGTGGGCAGCTGAGGCTGCTGGTGGAGTCTGCGCGCCCCAGGGTCCGGATTGAGATGCCAGGGGGTGAGCATGGTGACAGCCAGACCTCCAAACTGGTCCCTGGGCACAGGCCTCAGTGAACCACTGAGCACAGTGGCTTAATTATTCCATCCATAAATGATGAGCCTCGTTCATTTCCGGGCCTTCATGACAAATTTATGGCCTTATTTAATGTGCTGGCTGCTGACCTTCCCTGGGATCGCAGGGAAACCGGGGCGGGGTGCGGGTGGCTTCCTGGAGGGCGCGGTGCCCGAGCTGCTGGGCCTCACGTCCCCTCCCGTCACCCGCGGGAGCAACCGAGGCCTCTGGCCTATTGCGGTTGGCGAACTCATTTTTCTCCGCCTTGCTTCTCTGGGGGAGGCGCTGGCGCGTGAGCTGAGGGTAGGGCCTCTGAAGTCAGAGGGATGCTGGTTCGAGTCCGCGTCTGCTACTTTTGAGCTACATGACTTTAAGCATGTAAGCTGCTTTGTCTCAGGCTCCTGGACGAGGTAGAACAGCTGGAAATGATCTGTGTAGTAAATACTCCATATATGGCTGCCCTGGGGGTTTCACATTGGATTTTATTTATTTATCATTTGGAGCCACTGCTTGGGGCCTGGTGACCCCGGAACAGACCACATCTTAAAGTAGAAGCACACTCAGATTTGGCCACCAGGCCCTGCTCTGAGCAGAGAAGACCCCAGAAATCACCGGCTGCACGAGCCCAGCCCTGAGCAACCAGGAGCCTGGTTCTGGCTTTTGGTCCCGCCTCCAGCTCTGAGCTGGCCTTGGTGACTCACACCCCTCCCTCAGTTTACCACATTTGTCACAGGGCAGCCAGCGTAGTATTCATACTTGCCATGGGCCAGAAGTTCCAGTATGAACTCGATTGAAGGATAGTAGAATCACCTTTTGGGGCCAATTTCTGGAACCTACACACACACGGTCCTCCGGCCTAGATGGCTGACAGGCTCTGAGTGGGGCATGGGTGCAGCTCACAGAACCACGGGACCCTTGAGCTGACCGGGAGCTCAGAGAGCACCTCCTCCAGCCTCACACTTCATAGATGAGGATGCTCATAACATGGTCGCCAGATATTAATTAAGTGCTTACTGTATACCAGGCACCACGATCATCGCTTGCCATCTATTTGTCTCATTTGGTCCTCACCACAACCAAATAGGGGCCAAGTATGACTTACTTCATTTACAAAGGAGGAATACAGAGGCCCAGAGAAGTACAGAACTCGGAGAAGGCCACACAGCACCACCGGCCTCCAGGTCCAGACCCTTCCCGTGTGGATGCACCATAGGTATTCGCATGTCCTTGCACGGGCGCGCCTTCTTGTGCGTGTGTGTGTTTGCGCGGATGTGCCGATATAAGGAGATGTGCACGCCACCTGTGAGCGCGTGTCGTACCTGGGCTGGTCATTCGTGGGGCGCATGTTCTGACTCCCTGTCCAGTGCTCTTTCACCCCTAGCCGGTGCCATTCAACAAAGAGCCGGTTGGAAATGGAACCTTTCAGCTGGGGCGTGCCTGGCTTCCCACAGTCTTAGGGAATGAGTTTAATTTGCATACTTATTTGCATGCCAGCGCAGTCACTCACGCGCCAGGGCCCAGCCTGGGCAGGGAAAAATGTGTGTCGATTCCTACACCGCCCGTAACTCCGCCGTCAGCCAGCCATCCGAGGTGCAGTTTCTCCGAGCTCATTTCTATCATTACCCCCATTGTGTAGATCACGAAACTGAGGTTTAGAATTCCTGGGCCAAGGTCATGTCGCCAGCAAGTGGCAGAGCTGAGGTCTGATGCTTGGTTAGAGAAGCCAAATCCAGTGGTCTTTCCCCAGTCCCACCCTGCCTGCAGGCTTGAGGTAGGCATGGAGGAGTGAGCGGCTGGGAGGAGCTTCAGGGAGAAACCATGGGGCCCTGGAAGTTTCCCTGTGTGTGTGTGTGTGTGTGTGTGTGTGTGTTACGAGCGTATGGGTATAGCGTGGTGCGTTTCATCATCTTGCAACAAAATGCCTCAGCCTCTTATGTGACAGGCACATAAATAACAACAATAATAATGGGCATAGCAAACATGGGTCTAGTGCTTATGGTGCACCAGGCAAATGAGTTCTATTAATTTATCTTTGCAACAATCCTAGGAGGTGGTAACATTATTGTTCCCATTTTTCGTCTGGGGAAACAGAAGCACAGAGAGGTGAAGTGACTTGCTCAAGGTCATGCAGCTGGGAAGTGGCAGGGCTGGGACTCAAGCCCAGGCCGTTTGGGTCCATGGGTCACGGATCCAACCGTACCACTCTCGAGGTGTGCTGGACACGTGATGGTGTGCGCGTATGTCAAAGCCTGAGCTGCCACGATAAGCTACCAAAGACTGGGTGGCTTAAACAACAGAAATTTCTTTTCTCACCGTTTAGAGTCCAGGAAGTTCAAGATCAAGGTGCTAGCTGATTCAGTTTCTGAGCAGAGCTCTCTTCCTGACTTGTAGACGACTGCCTTCTCGTTGTGGACTCACATGGTCTTTCCTTGGCTCACCTGCATGGAGAGAAGACAGAGCTCTGATTCTGACATGTCTTCTAATAAGGGCACAGTCCCTTCATGACGGCCACACCTTCATGACCGCATTTAGCCCTTAATACCTCTCATAGGTACAGCCTCCAAATACCATCACATTCGGAGTTAGAACTTCAACATATGGATTTGGGGTGGGGAAAATACAACATTGCGTACATGCACACACACTCGTGCACGTACACATGAAGGTGTGTGCATGTCCATGTGTGCATTTCCTTGTGTGTGTTCATATGAAAGTACCTGTGGGTATATAAAGATGTAGATTTATATACACATACGAGTGTATGGCCTCACATACGTACATCTGAGTGTGTGTACGTGGGTATATTAGAGGTTGGGAAACTTCATCCCAGGCCAGCCCCTCTGCCGACTAGTCCAATAGCCCCATGAAAACTGGGGTCACACAAAGGGAGCTAGGGTGGGGCTTTGGGTAGCTAGGGCCTAAGAGCTAGTGCTCCCTGGATCGTTGGGGGAGGGGACTCCCCAGCTCCTCACGCTCATCGCCCTGGCCTCCAGGAGACATTAATAATAGATCAGCAAATTCCAAATGTAAATAGGGCAATCAGGCCCGAAAACACAGACATTCATCACCCAGATACAAATTACGCTGCCGGCCCCTGATGTAATTACCAGAGTTCAGCTCGATGCATCGAGCCACCCCACCCTGTGCCCTAGCGAGTTGCTTTGTGCCGGTGTTCTCCCCGCTGAGGATGCTCATCCACCTGACCCCAGAGGGTCTCTCTGGCCAGAGCCAAGTGTGTCTAGCTGTCCTAAGCAGGTATGAAGACAGAAAACCCCTGAGATTCTTGTGCTTTGATGACAGAGCTCCATAGGTCACGGGGCAGACACCAATGGGTCAGATGCCTGCTTCTGGCTCTCGTTTTGAAATATTGCTGTGTGACCCTGGGCAAGTCACTCACCCTTTCTGAGTCTCAGTTTCCTCTTCTATCCAAAGAAGCTAACAATACAAACGCTAACAATACAAAACACTACAATACAGCTTAGGGCTTTGGAGTCAGAAGGACCACCCTATCACTTTTGAGTTGAGAGACCTTGGGCAAGTTTCTTCCCTACTCTGAACCTCAACTCTTTCATCTGTAAAATGGGTGTAATAATGCCTGTCACATAGAATTATTTTGAGGAAAGAATGAAGTAAGATTTCTCTTTTAATTGGTGAATTTAACTCATTCACATTTATTGTGATTATATTATAATACCACACATAAAACATATATCACCAATGTATCAGCACACTCAAAAATCTATATGTACATAGAGTGATTATATAACTACATGTTTTATGGCGGTCCTCTTTCTTGCCACATTTGTTTGTGTTTCCTATTTATTAGTCTTCCTTATGTTTCCTTCTTTCCCATGGCTATTGTACTAGTTATCTATTACTACAAAACTTAGTGGCTTACCACAATAACCATTTAGATTTTTTTAAATGTTCATATATATTTTTTTTATTTAAAAATTTTTTTTTCAACGTTTATTTATTTTTGGGACAGAGAGAGACAGAGCATGAACGGGGGAGAGGCAGAGAGAGAGGGAGACACAGAATCGGAAACAGGCTCCAGGCTCTGAGCCATCAGCCCAGAGCCCGACGCGGGGCTCGAACTCCCGGACCGCGAGATCATGACCTGGCTGAAGTCGGACGCTTAACCGACTGCGCCACCCAGGCGCCCCTTAAATGTTTATATTTGAGAGAGAGACAGACAGAACGTGAGAGGGGGAGGGACAGAGAAAGACGGGGACAGAATCCAAAGTAGACTCCAGGCTCTGAGCTGTCAGCACAGAGCCTAATGTGGGGCTCAAACTCACAAGCCGTGGGATCATGACTTGAGTCGCAGTCGGACGCTCAACCAATTGAGCCACCCAGTCGCCCCCACAATAACCATTTAAGAATCTCATAGTTGTCGTGGAGTGGCTTAGGGTGGTTCAGGTTCAGGGTCTCTTCATGAGATTGTAGCCATGATGTTGGCCAAGGTTGTGGTCTCATCCACAGCCTTGATTGGACCGGAGTTTCCACTCCCCAAGGTGGCTCCTCAATTCCTCCCTGCGTGGATCTCCCTGTAGGACTGCTTGAGTGTCCTCACGACATGGCGACTGGCTTCCCCTGGAGCGAGTGAGCGAAGAGAGCAAGGCAATGGTTGTAATGTCTTTAATGACTGAGCCTCAGAAGTCACGAGCTGTCACGTCAGCCATGCTGTTACACAGGTCATTCCCCTCGTGTGGGAGAGAACTGCACAACAGGTGGATATCAGGATGCAGGGATCACTGGGGGCCACCTTGGAGCCTGGGTATGACACCTGCCTTGTGTTGGATTGCACGATAGTGTATGCAAAGCTCTCAGCTCGGGCACTGGGAGAAATTCATTAATCCCTACGACCCCAATGCCCAGCACGGTTCCTGGCATAGACTAGGCATCAACAAATAATGTGATGGCAAGGAGAGGGCTGTAGCAGAATCTGGTGGTACCCCAGCAGCCACTGGAACCCACATCCTCCTGCCTTGCCATTGCCCAGGCTTTGGCTCAGGGCGTGCCGAGCCACGGAGGGCTAGGAGCTCCTGCCTTCTCTGAATCAGGGAGGAGAGTCTAGACCAAAGGCAGTTTCCAGGCCTGTCTCGTCCCAACTCTACATTGATCAGTAATTAAACGCAGCCTCCAATTACTATAACGTTTGGCGAGGCACCAAGCTCGCGTGAAACCTTGCAATAAACATCTGCTTTATAAATTGCCTCTCAGTGCAGGGCACCAGCAGGGTTCTTGGGGGTTGGGGAGAGAGAAGAGCTGGGAGCTGGGAAAGGGAGGAGAGGTTAGGGAGGGAGAGGCTGGCCTGCCAGGTGGTAGGAAGTGAGGGCCCCGAGCATTCCTCTGTGGAAGACTCCCTCACCACCCTCCAAGGTGGGGGCCCTGAATTTGACCCAGAGCTGGGGAATCCTCGTCTCCTGAGATTGTGTCAAAAGCCGCACACATACCTAATGCAAATTACCTTTCTCTTGCCTTTTCTTTTTCCAAAACCCATAACATCCCACTCACCTGTCATTTACATTTAGAGGGAGAAGCATAGAGGTTTATTAGCTATAGTAGCAGCCTCTGTCGGGGGTGAGATATTCTCCGGGCTCCAGAGGAAGAGGAGGGTCAGTGGTTTCTTACCAAGGTCCTGGAGCCCCAACCCCACTATGCACACTGTCCCCTGAGCCAGAAATGGGCCTGTGGACCCCACTCTGTCTCCTTCAGGGTCTTGCTTACAGAGACGACAAGGGAGGGGGAAACCCAGGATCCGGGGTCTGATGGAACTGGGCCGAGACCTGGCTCAGCTCACCTGAGACTTTGGGCAAGTGACTTTGCCTCTTTGGGCCTCTGTTTCTGCACCTGTGAAATGGTCATAAAACCCACGGGTGTCTGGCAGGACTAAGGGAGCCGTGGGAGCGGGGCAGCAGAGTGGATAGGGCAGGGGCTCTGAAGCCAGGCAGGCTTGCCCCTTGGATATGACCGTTTTGTTTTCAGCCTCCTCTGAAGATGGGGAGGTAAGTGTGTCAGCTCACGGAGGTGCTGTGAGGTCTCGGCCGGGTGTGCAGCACGGCGGGCACTTAAATGCCAGCTACTGTTGTTACCGTTGCTATCATTATGCTCGAAGGACAGAGAGTCGCTTCTGTTCCAGGGAGAAAGGACCTTCCTGGGCCTCTGGGCTCCCCTCCCCTGCCTTTGCTCCCCCCTCTCTTCCTACCCCTTGGAGCCTATGCTCTGCCCCTTGCCTGTTGCACAAGACCTGGGCTCTCCAGGGAAGACCATTTGATTGATCTGCTGTCCCCGTCACTGGCACCACTGTGTGCTCTCCAGCCAGCTTGTTTGCTCATCCAGCACCGGGGGAAGTCGAGGACTTCCGGTAGGCAGGGATGGGGGATAAAGGGGAGGACTGTCTGAGGCCAAACTGCCCGCCTGGGGAAGCCTACAGCTGCCCAGCGCAGCTGAGATGAAATGAGATTTCACATGTGCCCCACGCTTAGCTGGTCGCATTAATACCATTATGGTCTGAAACCCAACCTGGGAGGTGTGGGGTGTGTTCCTCTCCCTTACTCCGCCCACCTTGTCCAGGTAAGATACGAGGCAAGGTGAGTGGGGCCGCCTCCCATCTCTCCACCCAGGTGAGCTGCGAAAGTACCTGAGTCCACCTTTAGGAAACCGTTCCTTAGCATTAGCACTGATGCTTGATCTTTTTTTCTTTAAAAATTTTTTAATGTTTATTTTTGAGAGAGAGAGAGAGAGAGAGAGAGAGAGCACGAACAGGGGAGGGGCAGAGAGAGAGAGGGAGACACAGAATCTGAAGCAGGCTCCAGGCTCCCAGCTGTCAGCACAGAACCCGATGCAGGGCTTGAACTCGTGAAACACGAGATCGTTGACCTGAGCTGAAGTTGGACACTTAACTGCCGGAGCCACCCAGGCGCCCCAGACACTTGGTCTCTCTTAAAAATGAAAACAGCCCCCAGAAGGCTGGCCGAAGGAGTCCCTTCTACCTTTAGCAAGGAATCATTTACGAAAAGACCTGAGAGTCAGTGGGGACGTTCGTCCCAGTGCCGGGGCCATGGTGAATGTTTGATGAACGAATGCACGAGTGAACGAAGTCTCAACGCCGCCTGGCACTGGCATCGCCCTCTGGATGCTCACGGCACCGGAGTCCAGCCTCATTGCAAACTCCTTCCCGACACGCGAAGCTCGTCGCCTAGAGGGCAGCCTGGTCCGTCTCTAGACAACTCCGGGCCCCGAAACACATTCCACATGTTGAGCTCAAACTCCCTTCCCTGAAACTTCTCTAGGGATCGCCGTGCTCTTGAGGTCAAAATCCTAAACCACAGATGAGCAGTCGCCAATACGTTTTGTAAAAGCTTGCCGGGCCCCGTCAGGATATTTATCAATGAAACCCACGCGGCAGGCGAAGTTTTATTCCAGTGAAGCT